AAGGACCCCCCCCCGAAGGGGGAGGAAACTCCCCCCACGTAACGCTCTGGGGTGGAAGGGATTCCTCCTTCAGGTTAGGCTCTTCAGAGGGTCACCCACGCGGGGACTCTTCCCGAGAGGTGCCCGCGGGCGCGTCACCCGTAGTTTACAATGGAGAAAACCGGGGTTGCGCAAGGCTACCTCACGTAGCCTGGCCCCGACTTCCCGAGACTCGTCTGGCCGCCAGATTCTAACGGGACCTCTATACCTGGCGAAGTCTAAAGATATCCTACATTCAGAAATAAATCGAAGAAAAAAGAATAAAATTTTTTAATTCCAAGTTTCATTTTCGAGAAAATCGACTTTGAATATTCACCGAGTACACGTGCACTTAGCTATGGCTTGTTAGATGTATGGACCATCAATACAATAGCATCGGTGATACAACCGAGGAGAGGATGATTCTAAATGAAAAAACAAATCGAAAATAAAGAATAAAATTTTTTCATTCGAAGCTTCGTTTTCGAGGAAATCGACTTTAAATCTCTTAAAGATGGTAAACAAATAAATAATAAAATAATTATTGGAATAATTGTTCAAATTATTTCAATTAAATGATTTTTTAATAAATATAAATTAATATATTTATTATTTAAAATATCAATAATTAAATAAATTGTAAAAATATAAATTCAATATAATAGTAGCAATCATTTTTTTACAAATATAACTATAGTTATGGAAACTAAAGTCATAACTTCCGTAGGAAAGAGATTGATCTGAGAGTGCATATTTCAAGGCCATCAAAACCGGCGAGGATGCTCCTAACCTGCATAATTACTAAATTTTCGTGGCCACTGTTCTTAACATAAATTTATTTTCTTTAAACCGAATTCGATTATTTATAGTCATATTAAAAGAAATATTATTATTCTAAATATGCAAAGGGAACACAAAAGAAATCGTTGCAACATATTATGTTAGTAAACTAAAATATCAAAATACCGATAAATATGATTAAGATACTGCGAAAAATGATTAAAAAGTTACTCCTTTCTATTTAATAGAAACATAAATTTTATTATACACGTGCCTTAAACAACTCATAGAATTCTAATTTACGGGAAGCAAAAAAACCTAACCCCTAACCTAACCTAACCTAACCTAACGAAATTAAAAAATAAATTTTTTTAAACACAATAGTGAATTTCATGCTTGAAAGAATAGTCGATACAATAACCTTGAAAATGTATTCGATAGAGTTATAGAAACTTTGAATAAGACTTTAAAAGTTTCAAAAACAAAAATTAACAAAATTTAAATTAACTTAAAAACTTAAATTACCTATCGAAATTTTGGCTTTACTATGATCACGATCTGTCGAGCCGGAAACAACTTTCACATTTACAATAGGAACAACTAAGGATAAGCAAGATTTTGATGAAAATGATCAAGATGGTAAAAGTAGTGAAAAGTTTATCCATTACCCATACTAAGTTAGACAGTTAAATAATTTAAAATTACATTTAAACGAATTATGTCGATTGTTTTTAAATTTTGTATTAATTTTTCTTAAATTAACTATGACTTATTTTTTGTGTACAATAATTCTGTCTTTGTATATAAGTATGTAACTGTAAATAAATAATTTATGTTATAGGGAACAAATATTTGTTAAAAAGCTTTGATTTTTATTTTAGCCGCGTTTTTAATTTTATCCACGAAATGCTTCTCTCTAGATCATTGTGTTTGATTTTAGTTTCTGAGATATGAGCAAAACATTATTCTCACTACTATGATGGTTTATCTTCGAGTGTATGTATGTATGGCAGCGCATGAGTCATAATAGAATGGGAAATGTGTAAATAAGTGACGATGAATTGCTAAAAGATCAAGCTTAACCAATTTCAATGATTTTGAATTCAAACTCGAGTAGCTGGAATATAAATTTAGTCAGACCTACTTCAATTTACTGTAATTACTTAATTAGTTATAGATTTTGTCAGATTAATATCCCAATGACAGAAATGTGTAACAAAAGCAATAAGACAACCGTAATTTGTAATATTTATGCTGAAGCAGCGAAGTGTGTATCGAGTATCAGAAATATTTTTCACCGCGAATATCTCGGAAATATAAAGAGAGCGGCAATAACATATATAAAGAAAAGTTGCTCGCGAGTTTCACCTTGACAATACATTTCAATATGATTAAGAACGATGAAGTATCCTCTAATCTAGATAAGTACCAGAAAAATTTTATTCTTTAAAATATCGATTTCTATACATATTTAAAAATCACCAAAATTGACAGTACATCCGCTTTCTAAATAATTACCCTAACATTATATTACTTTATACTGATATATTTGCAATGATACATTGCAATATATTAGAATGAATTAATAGAAACTAAAATACAAATCAAGGTAAATTTAAAAAATATGTTTTTAAATAGTTATGATAAGTTGCACAGACCAAATAAGTAATATATGTCTGAAGGTAAGTTAACATTTGTTAAAATTCATTACAGCAACTTATTTAAAAATGAATGATGTAATATTTTCGAAAAATTTATTTTTTTCAAACTAAATAAATTTTTTAATCGAAGATTGTCGTTTTCTCATTGTATATAAACAAATTAAGATTTCTGGCTGTGATTAGTCTTCTTTGCTAACAAGAAAAATTTATGCAATACTATCTTACTTTCCCCTGTAATTTCGCTAATGGTTCCATTAGAATATACCTCTGAAGAATCATCAACTTTTTAGATCGAGTACCCTTACCAATTACCAAAATTTCTATGAGGTATTATAGTTGTGAAAATCCAGATTTATGCTGTGCATGAATCAGGCATAATGGCAGTTCTGAATAAGTAGAAACTGTAATGAAAGATTAGATAAACAGGTAAATGAACGCCGGAGTCCAAGGACAAATTAACGTACATAAACCATTACCACACAACCATTGGAATTCAGAAGGTTATCTCTCATAGACAAGTCGGTGTTTAAATAACATTAGAAATGGTCAAGCAGAACTCTTCCCTCTGTACTCTCGAATGAAATATTAAATATAACCTAATCTAACTTAATCACTATTTTACACACGTGCAATGAAACAATTTAGAGTCTTATATCATGGGAAACATCGATGAAAAAATTCAAGTCTTATATCAAATTTGAGATCAATGCGTGCATTTGTAAAATAAATATTCCACTGCTCTTTCAACTCAGACCCCAAACGTCGCAATTTTGAGCAAGTTTATTTTCGTTCGATTCATCAGACAGTATTTATTTCTTTTCCAGTTAGTCATCTGTTATACATATGCATATATTAGTTACCGACCGTTGTGAAATGTTTAGAGGAACGGTAGCTAGAAGACAGCATTGTATTGTACTAAACGTTTCTTATCGGTATTATGGAAACTTAAATTCTCGGCGCTGAATTTTATATTAGAATTCGTTCCCCCACCCTTTCCTCCCTTTCAAATTTTATCTCAATTAGCCACTGGAGCCCTTCGGAACTTTATTCGAAAATTGTTTTGATACGTCATAAATAATACGAATAGACAATTCCTTTAGATATAAATTGAGTTCTTAATAGATTACTAAACTTATATTTACACCGTATAGTATGATTTTCTTTACTATAATAATATAAATTATTTTGTGTGCATATAATAGAGTTCTGTCTGAAGAATTCTGTATAAAATCTTGAAATGCATATGAAACAGTTACGATGTAACTGTTTAGTAAAAACAATGTAAAGTTTATGTAAGAAGTGTCTTGAGTTCGAATATACAATCTTTTAAACAATCTGACATGTTTTTATTGGTTAGTTTAAATTCTGTTAAACATAAAATTACGTATCTTATTGATTATACAAACGATTTGCAAGCGTGAGTTTTGGAAGATGTATCGTTAAAAGTGAAAGGTTAAGAGTGTATACTTTTTTCAAATGTAGGAGACTATAATAATACTGTGCGTATAGATCTGTTGTACGCATACCTGATCGTCTGTATCCACAAAATTATTGCTATTAGCAATTTGCTAGATTGTAGATTGTTTGAGAATGATAGATGTATGTAGATTATTGAAAAGATCGAAAATCTTTTTTTCTATGTACCTAAAATGACCAATATATTTATTGAAAGAATCAGTTATATATTTATTACTTTGTGTTAATCTCTTTACCATCTTTTTCATAATCAGAAAAGTAACGGTGATAACTTGTTAATTTGTAATAGATATTACAATTATGTATTATTTTAATGTATTTTTACATAATATTGTTAACTTTTATCATTTGTAACTAAGTTCTTAAAGCTATAACATTTTAATCAAATTGATAAATCTGTAATTAAAAATTTGTATACATTAAGTGAATAAAAAATTATAATAAATTAATTATTGAGAAGGAACAACATCTATTACAAATTTTTAGAAACGATTGACATTATTTTTTTGTTCGTAAAAAGAAAGCAAAATTCATAATAATATAATTCATAATAAAAATATTAAATTTTGTATCTATTACACTTTTTCCCTTGGAAGTACTCGAAACTATAAATGTTTAAATCGTGTAATATTTGCTTTACTTTTTCTTGTAGGTTGCAGTGAGATCCAATTGCACAATTTGACTTAATCTAGAAAGGTAAAAGATCATATAAACTACCTATATTCAAATCGAGTTTGTAAGTAAAAGTTATCAATCAATGAATTTGTAAAAATGGGACAGCTGCTAATATGTAAATAGTTCTAATATACATATGTATGTATATTTACACGATTGGAACAATTTTAAGAATAAAAAGCATACAGATTATTTAAAGCATGCATGGTGAATTATTTCTTACACTATTGAAGGAATTCAAGAATTATTAATTTGTAATAAATGTTTTATTAGTATATTAAAAAAACAGTAAAAGAGAAAAGAATATTTTATGTTTTAAGTTACTAAATCTATGTTCTTCATGTAACTTCTAGAAAACATACTGTACTCTCGTCACGTGATAGTATAACCATGCGTCTCTTATGCAACATGGCGACCGGTAAAGGACTTGCAATCGTTTTTCGACCAAAGACTATTAATTTAATCAACAATAGTAAATTAAATAAATTACCTAGTAGTATCGTGCAAAGATGTAACACCTGTCACCGATCTATCACAACAGTGGTATTGGGTGTCGGCAACTGGAACTTAAAGAAAGCAGAAAAATGTAATGTATACTATGATGAATACAGATTACATCATGCTTTTTTAATTATACGTCTTTTATTTAAGAATCCCCGACATATTTAATGTATTTTGTTATTTTATAAAAAGTTTCTTATTTTAAATATTGTTTAGTCGTTTAAAATTTTAATCAATAAACCCTTAACATAAAGTATAACCTGCCATTCACAACACATGTTTTCCTTGTTAATAAAAGTTGTTTATAATAAGATTGAAATTGATTTTTATTATTTCAATTTTATTTTAAATATTAGTTTAAGTATCTGTTAATTTTACTTTAAAATTATTGACATTGTATTATTAATGTCTCCAAATAAAAAATTAATTTAGAAATTGTAAATTATATTGTACTTTTAATTCTTTGCATTTCTTTAGCTCTTTAACTTTGATGTCAAAACAACTTTGTTCGTTATTTGATTATATAATTTATTTTTATAATCATACCAATTATTAAAAAATTATATTGTAAATTTGAAATAATTCATTAATGTTTTAGAAAATAAATGAATACATAATTAATGCAGGAGATTAATAGTGAAATATTTTGTGTATAATTTTACTAAATTATATATACATTTTTGTTATTAATCTTATAGGTATATTTAACAAAATCACCTGTATTATGGAGTATTATTTTTTAAATATAATTATAGGTAATATAGGAAATTTAAATCAAGTTCAAAGAGGAATACATGTAACACGCAAACTTTTAAAGCGTAATTATTATGAAATATTGGGTGTATCCAAGAATGCTTCAGCAAAGGAAATTAAAAAGGCTTACTATCAACTTGCTAAACAGTACCACCCTGATACAAATAAAGGTGATCCAAATGCAAGCAAGAAATTTCAGGAAGTTTCAGAAGCGTATGAGGTGTTAAGCGATGACAATAAAAGAAAGGAATATGACACATGGGGGGCTACATCAGAACAAATGGGAATGAATCAAGGTAGTGGTGAACATGTCAAAGATTTTGGTCAAAGCTGGCAATTTAGGTCATCGATCAATCCAGAAGAATTGTTTAGAAAAATATTTGGACAAGCTGGATTTCAGACTAATATTTTTAATGATTTTGAAGATTTTCAAGAATCATCATATGGTTTTGGTGCAGCTCAAGAGGTAGATTTATATATCATGTACATATACTATGATATTGTACAAAAAGATGTACATAAAGTCTTACACACTCTAACGCTATAAATAACTTTTTTATTATAACACTTCAACTATGAAAGGTGTAAAAGAATATCTCAAGTAAACGCTATTAAGCACCTGCTCAAAGATATGATGCAAATAAAATAATTGATTTCTTTTGACTCTTTAATTTGAAAGAAAAAAGAATCATGTTAATATCTGCATTAATTATGAAGAAAATAGGTCGTAACACTTTATGTATCTCACTCTGTATATTTATATGCCATACTATTATAACTGTATTTCCCATTTTTAGGTTATTATGAATTTAACATTTTCTCAAGCTGCCAGAGGAGTGAATAAAGAAGTTCAGCTGAATGTAATAGATACATGTCCAAAATGTAGAGGGTCACGTAGTGAATTAGGAAAGAAAGCAGTTAGGTGCCAATATTGTAATGGAACTGGAATGGAAACAATTAGCACAGGTCCTTTTGTGATGCGATCTACTTGTCGTTATTGTAATGGTACTAAAATGTTTATTAAATATCCTTGTATGGAATGTGAAGGAAAAGGACAAACGGTACAAATACATTTTATGATTTTATTAATTGATAATAACAGAATTTATTCATATAATAAATACTTATAGATTTGGTACTGTTTTATATAAAATACTTTAATAGGTGCAACGTAAAAAAGTAACAGTTCCGGTGCCAGCCGGTGTTGAAGATGGTCAAACAATTCGGATGGCTGTTGGTAATAAAGAAGTATTTATAACATTCCGTGTGGAAAAATCGAAATATTTTCGAAGAGATGGTTCAGATGTACATACAGATGCTCAGATTTCATTATCACAAGCAATACTTGGTGGTACTATAAGAATAGAAGGCATTTATGAGGATCATACCATTCAGATTATGCCTGGTACTTCATCTCATACTAAAATTCGACTTAACGGTAAAGGATTAAAAAAAGTAAATAGTATGGGACATGGAGACCATTATGTACAAATTAAAATTGTTGTACCCACAAAATTAAACGATAAACAATTAGCATTACTTCAAGCTTATGCTGAACTTGAAGATAATACACCTGGAAGTATACATGGTATAACATACAAAACAAATGGTAAGAATAAACATGACAAATCATAATTGTGATTATTGTATGATCAATTAAACATACGTACAAAAAAGCTGATATATTTGAATTTTCATCTTATTTTTTCTTTTAATAAATCGAATTTAATCAGAATTGAAAAGTTAGAAATGTTTCAAATAAAATTTTTTAAATAATTTTTGTTTATCTTATAAAGCCGTATAAGATTAGATTTTTGTGTCGCTTGAGTTTCCTCATGTGTACCTGACCTTGCTAATTAAATAAATGATGTAAAAATTTATATGTGCGTTTTATTAATGTTTCATATTAATAAGATATACGTGTTCAGAAAATTAACAATTTATTTATTGAATTAACTTAATAGTTAGAATATGTTTATTTGCTTTTATAATTTATCTATTATATAGATCCTTTTATCTTGAAATTGTACATATCTTTTTGGCAGGTCCAAAGATAAAAACTCAAGCGAGACAGACTAGAGAATCTGTACAAAATGATGAAAGTGAAGGTTTTCTTACTAAAATCAAGAAAGCTATATTTGGTTAAAATAAACTTGGTGAGTGAGCTAGTTAGGAGAAAATTTAATAAATTGTTTATGCTTTATAATTTATCTTCATTATCAATAAGTTTATAATAAAATTGAAGTTTACAAGTTTATAAAAAATTTTATTTTATTGTATTTACTTACAGATACTAAAGAAAGTTATGCTGGTCCTTTGAAATTGCTGGAATCTATACGAATGGCGTTAAATGATAAATCTGAAAATGATAAAGATGCTAAAAGAAAAGATGATAGTTCAGGAAGTGAACATCTTGATTCAATAAGAAGACGAAAAGTGTCTTAAATTTGAATATAATAGGATTTTGAATGGCTAAAAAATTAGTCATTTCCGACATCTTTGGAAATATCTAAACGAAGGAATATAAAAGTAAAACTAATTTTCGTGTAGAAGATTCTGATGCATTATTGTTATAAATATTACTTGAATTTGAAACAAACCAAGTATAAGCCACTTTTTTAAAAATACAATTACTGACATTATTGTTTATTTGTTTCATATGTAGTTTGTCAAAGCACCTTTACAAGCAAAATTTATTCCTGACGAAATTAATAGTTACTGAAATGTCAGAGTTAATAGATAATTATAGTTCTATTATATGTGTAATAAATTATGCAACTGTCATTTCTATTTATGTTTTATTATTATATCCTTTATTCCATAGTACCCAAAACAAATTATATCTCTAACATGTTGTAGTTAATTTTATTCTCTATTTATTTTCTAAGTACATTTGGGATAAATAAATGCAGTAGAAGAGAAATATATGATTATAGTGTATAAATGTAATTTATTATTTTGTATTGTTTCCAAATATAGAAGTAAAGTACAAATAATTTAAGTTATTTTATAAAGGTATAAATTTGTTTACTTTTAAATAGTCTAATAGTTTTCTTTTTCATATAAAAAAATTATTTGAGTAGTATTCTCTACTACTTTTATGATGTTATATAAGTGTTATACTATAATATGAGAAACAAATGTATTATTTTTAACATGATTAGAATAATAAGTCATATTTCTTTCTTTATTTTATATGAAGATAAATAAGGTAATGAAAAAGAAATTAATTAAATGTATTAATAGGTGAGACTTATAATAAATATTGAGCTTAACACTTTATTCTTTGTGTTTAAAAATACTTTAGATAATGTCTATATTATAATTTAAAATCAATATTTTAGTTTGGGTGATCTGATATGATGAATATTAAATTATATTAAAAGATAAAGATCAATGGAAATTACAATTTTTTTAACAGGAATATAACAGGAAAATTTGTTAACAAATATATGTATTTTTATTTTTAATAATGTATATTGTAATATATTTTATGTTTAAGTTTATATGCAAAATATAATTATTCTAATTCATTATTTTTTTCACAATATTTAGTATATGTACAATAATATTTTTTATGCACATCTTAACAGATTTCATTAAATTTTAATTAGAATATTGATAATTAACATTACAAGCTAGTGTATGTATATTCTACAAAATTTATTGCTCATAAAAAGGAAAGTAAATAATTGATTACTTTTTAATTTTAATATTATATATAACTTAAGAATTAATAATGACAAGAATGTAATTCAAGTAATAACTCAATGAAAGGACTCATTATTTTTGTAAAATATATTTTGTATGATAGTATAAAACACAATTACATATAGTTTGAATATTTTATTATTTTGAAAGTTTATAATGTATATTCAAATCTTCTATTCATTTTATATTAATATCATTACTTTCTTACAAGTAATTGTATTTTATATAATTCCATTAAAAAATACAAATAAATTATAATATTGTATCCAAAGATTATTTTTGCTCATAGTATATATTTTATTATTATATATATTGATATGGAATATAATAATTATATTTAAAATCATAATATCTTACAAAATTTTATTTAAAAAATTTTTAAATTACATTTTACGAGACTTAAAGTAACTCAATGAGAGGTGTTTTGTAATAAAAGAAACCAAAATTACACTTATGTTTGAAGTATAAAACGTTCATTGAAATTATTAAGCTTCGATTAATAAACCATATTTAAGACCAATATTTGTCAAACTTTGAGTAGTTGATACACCCAACACTGCAACAGCAACAGCGGCAATAGTGACTGCACCTTCCAAATAAAGTCCATATAATATTCGCACATAGCCAACTATCGTTGAAAGACCACCAGCAGCCGTAAAATCTAATGGAAACAAAACACTTGCCGCAATTGGTCTAGATCTGGCTACTCCGAAACACAGAACTCCCAACAAATAGTAACTGGCTGTAATTTAAAATAAAACAAGCACTATTAATAAATTATATAAATTAAATTAAATTGTTTATAAATATTTTCAAAAACTTCTATTGTAAATTATATTTTTACGTGATTTCATCCACTAAATAATATCTATTGATTAATTTTTTTTTTAGTAAGATTTAATACCTTTTATATAACTTAATTATAGTACTTAATGTTTTAATTTTCCTAAGTGATGAAATTTCTATCAGATTTTACATTTATTTATTAAGTTTTTAAACTTTTATAAAGTATAGTTATTGAAATATAATGAAATTATTGTTTACTCAAACATGAAATTATTTTAGACGATCCAAAAGAGACATAATAATGTTACATAAAATAAAATTTCTTTTGTTCTGTGCTATATTCTTTAAAATCTACAATTTTTATTATAGGTATATTTTTGTAACCATGAATATAGAGACATTTAAGTTAGTAAAACTATGTAAAATATATTCTTTCATTTGTCCAATGTTTTAAGTCATGAATAACAGTCTGAAATTTAAAAATACTTGAGCAATTTTAATTTTACGAAATGTAACAAAAAAATATATAATTTCAAATAATATTTAAAACAATATGGTTTTTTGTTCTATTTCACATTATTTCTATTAGTAACAGTATATTATGTATTTGCTTATTGTTTGAATTAATTTATAGATAATTTATTTCCTATTTATACGAAATTTTGATAAATATATTTTTATAAATATGTTTTTATAAAATATTTAAGGTAAAATTAATTTATATAATGTATATAAAATAAGATGTAATAAAATACATTAAATAAAACATATTTAATAGAAGATACATATACAAAAAACATTTTCAATTTCGCTTTATTCTCTAGTTACAAAAATTAAGGAATATAGATTTTGAACACTTATCGATGTTGAATTGTTCATACATTGATAATTTTTGTGAAATTTCAATACAATTTTTAAAAAGAAATTCTTATAGTTGAACGTTGAAATTACGCCCTTTATCGTTTAGAAACTAAAAGATATGGAAACATTTTATTCATTATTTCATTACTAGAAATTATGAAATTCAGTCATATAAAAAATGAAAAAAGAGGAAGAAAAATATATTTGTTCAAATAATATATTAAAAATTGAAATTCTTCAACATTATATAACTATAGATCAAAACAGAGAATATATGCTGAAATTTTTCACTTTTTAACAAATAATAATAATTAAATGCAGTTTTTCTTCACAGTTTTCCATTCGAATGAAAAACGGTACTTTATATTTTACTATATAATAATTATTAAATGCACAATTTTTTTGTAATTCAGATGAAAAGCAACTTTTTATTTTTTTACCATAACGATAATGCTTGGTTTCTAATTTGAATAAAGATCATTGATCAGGTACATATAAAATGTATCATAAACATTTATAATTCTTACTCTAATTACATTCTCTCATATTTCAATAGTTATGTTTTTAATCGTCAGTAGAGTTATTACAGGTGTATATAAAATAACGCGATATTAATCACTACCGCAAGGAATATAAAAGTCTTGTGTAATTCGGATTGTGTTGAAGTGATTCACGGCCACATAATCTTTGATCAGAACATCATTGTTAGTAGGAACTATATGACACCTGTGAATTAATGAAAAAGTGTTTCTCGTTTTAAGTATACAATAGCTTTGAAAGAAGCTAATGATGATACCCGAAACAATAGTTTTATCTCGGATTTCTACATTATACAGTTATGATGAAGAACTTGGCACTTTAAAGAACTTTTAATTAGTTACATCTATAGTAGTTGTATACTCTGTGTTGTACATTATTATACCTTTGTAATATTTTTTGTAATAAGATCTTTTGTATATTTTTTGTAATAAAATTCACTTTGACTATAATTGGAACGGAATATATAGAGTGTATGAAAATTGTATGTCATAACCATTATAATATACCATGTATACCTTTTCATCAGTGACGATTTGTTAAAATAGTTGTGATAAAATTGATTTCACTATAATTTTCAAGGTAAAATTTTTTTATTGCATCGTATTTTATTTATATCGTACTTGACCCATGGTTGCTTATACACATATTTTCTTCGCGATAAGAAGAATACAATTTTATAAATGTATTATAGAATGACATCCTAATGATCTTGACATAATGTTTATACACCATGTACATTATGATTGATGCTTTACTAGCATATACAATCATTAGAAAAGTGATCATCAGTTGAAAGATTTTGATCAATTTCATTTTCATACTGTATATTTATTTTATTTTTTAAGCTATACACAGTACGAGTTAATAAAAATGTAGTTGGGAGAATTAGTTAAAATAACTCGTTATCTTTTGATATTATCAAAGAATGTTTGAAATAATATTTATTGTATTTAAAGTAATCATGCAGATGCATTTTAATTTTTTTTTTATTTCATAACTTGTAAGATATCAAGATAACAATGAGTTTTTCAAATAATACTACATATTTGTTTTAATATTATGATGTAGTCGTTGAAAAAAAACGAATTCAATGATTTCTAACAAAGTAACCTTCAATTGGATTTGAACTTTAATCTCTGATACCTTAGGAACTATAAGATACAGGGAAATTAAATTGCAGTCGTCTGATAAGCTTCCTTATAAGATAAAATAAGATATAGATAACGAGATATTTCTGTTAGTGATCTTTATTGCTTCACCTGATTATTATTATTATTATTATTCTTTCAATTTAAATTTAGATTTACTAATATTTTTTCTAAGTGTCCAATTCTCTGAAATACTTGTTTATTTGCTTCCTTCCTTTTAAGAGGAGAAAGGAGATTTTTTAATGATAGGTAAAGATTTCAGTAGACGAACTAGGATCTTTATATGGAGGAGATAGATGAGAGAGATGATTGAGGTCGCAAGAGAAGAAACTTGAAAGATGAGGTGAAGAATTCAGTGGGTGAAGAACTATTAAGGTTTACAGAAGATAAAAGCTGGCATATTGCTAACAGTAATCTCCTAAAAGACAAACAATGCGAATATATGTATTTAGAACTAAGAGATGTGTTAATAATCAACTATGTGCTGATAAACACAGAAAGCCTGGGTGCTGTAAGAAGATTTGAAATAGGGGACAGAATTGAGTTGAATCACCAGCCATTATGCATATATCTGAGATTGAGTATGGCTAGAAGATGGAGAAGATCGACAGAGTGAAAACATGTTGACAATACATGAACAGCAAGATAATTTATTACAAGGAAGACATACAAGAGACATGACAAGAATAAGAAAAGAAGGTAAAAGGATGTTTGAAGACTAAGGTAGTGATTTGGAAGATGATTTATAGAAAGAAGAATTTACAGAAGATGGTATGAAGGAAGAATACAGAGGGAAATGTATTCGAAAAGAGGAGGGACTTGATAAGTTTCTTCAGAGAAAAGAAAGAAAAGGAGATTGTAGAAGAGGTGAAGCAAGTGAAGACACAAGCCATATATTGATAAAAGGGAGAGAAGAAAACAGGAGATAAGCAACGATATAACAATGATGGAGTAGAAGCTATATTTTATGTTCTTGGTGGGAGGCTGATCAAAAAGATACATTGATGAGGGTAGAAGTACCTAAGGAGAAGACAAGGACAGAAATAATAAGGGGGGATGAAATTAAGGAATAGATAGAAATATTAAAGGAAGGGAAAACCTGTGGAGAGGATGGAATACCAAACAAAGTCTGAAAAGAATAAAGAGAAGAAAAAGAACCAATTAGGAATGTTAATGGAGGAAGTGTAAAAAGAAGCTAAATTACCAAATTAGGAATATTAATGAAGGAAATGTGAAAAGGAGCTGAATTACCAAATTTTGATTATAAAAATCAATAATATGATCTATATACAAAAAGAAATGCCTGGAGAATGTTATGAATTACAGTAGTATATCTCTGTTAGATGCAGCACATAAAACTTATACTCAAATTCTAAATAAGAGGGAAATAGAAGAAAAAGAACCAATACAAGACGCAACATAAGCTAATTGGAGGAAGGGTCGCTGTTCTCTTCATCGATCTCAAGGCTGTTTTTGACAAAATTGATACGTTTTTATTATGGAAAACAATGTACAAAAGAGGCAAGTAAAGGAATTATTGAACATATTAAAGAGATATGTATATGAGGAAATGAACACTGGTCAGAGTGGGAGAAAAATGTACAGAGGAATTTTGGATGGTATAAGATAAAGCTGTTCAAAGAGAACCTCAGAGGTAACCTTAACTGATTTTAATGAAATTTGGCAGGGTGATAGATCTATATTTAAAATAATTATAACTAAAGTTTTAGCTGCAAATGGTAGATTAATTTTGAGAAAAATAGGTATATAGGTATCCAATTTAAAAAGGGCCCATCTGAATATCTTTGAAATTGTTAATAACTGTTAATAATACTTACGAAAAAATGTTTCAGATAAAAATTAAATGGCTTTTTGGAACACATACTCTGATGCAAATGTTTCGTAAATTTACAAGTAAGAAACATATGAAGCTTTATTTTCTTAGATGGAATCATATACTGTTATATTGATATATTGTTTGTAGATAATTCCACACACCATTTTCTATAAAAAAAAAATATTAAGCCACTCGATAAATTAAAATTTAGTAATTATTAGTATTAGTAAATTAATTTTAATATTAGGTAGTGGCATTAATAGTATAAGATTGGTGCTTAAGAAATATGTTTTTTAACTTAAATATTCGTACTACTATTCCAGATTGAAATTAAAATATTTTTTAAATTAATGATTTTTTGTCATAAGTAACTGAATATTGTCTTGTAAAGATTAACAAATCGTATCATATTAAAAAATATATAATTCCCTTTAATGAAACAAAATAAGAAAAACTTACATCAAATTACGTATTCCCTAAAACCATTCAAGTTTCACTTGATATTTTATTTTAATATTATCATTATAATAAAATAAAATATTAAATATGTATAAATATATATAAATATCA